TTTTTTATGTCTTATTAAAACAACAACAACAACAAAAACACCTTAAATACTGTATTCAGGGCTTCGGGGGTATCTCAGTGATAGAGTGCTTAGCATGCAGAAAGCCCTGAGTTTGATACTCAGCACTGAAAAAAATCAAACCCCTAATTTTTTTTTTTTTTGGTCGGTCGCAAGGCTTGAGCTCTGGGCTTGGGCGCTGTCCCTGTGCTCTTCAGCTCAAGGCAAGCACTCTACTGCTTGAGCCACAGCACCACTTCCAGTTTTCTAGTGGTTTATTGGAGATAGGAGTTTCACGGAGTTTCCTGCCCGGGCTGGCTTTGAACTGTGATCCTCAGATCTCAGCCTCCTGAATAGCTAAGATTACAGGCGTGAGCCACCGGCGCCCCGCTCAAATCCCTAAATTGTAAATGTTTTCTTTTTCTTTTTTTTTGTTGTTGTCAGTTATAGGACTTGAACTCAGGGCCTGGGTGCTGTCCCTGAGCTTTTTTGTTCAAGGCTAGTGCTGTAACACTTTGAGTCATAGCTTTATTTCTGGTTTTCTGGTGAAGTGGTACTGTGGCTCAAGTGGTAGAGTGTTAGTCTTGAACAAAAATCAGCTTTGGGACAGTGCCCAGGCTCAGAGTTCAAGCCCCAGGACTGCAAGAGAGAGAGAGAGACAGAGACAGAGACAGAGACAGAGACACACACACACACACACACACACACACACACACACACACACACACACACACACACACACACACGGGGAGAAAGAGGGGGGAGAGGAAGAGGGATAAGGAGAAAGGGAGAGGGAGAGAGACAAAGAGAGAGAGAAAGAAAGAGAGAGAGAAAATCTCAGGGACTTCCCTGCCTGGGCTGCCTTTGAATCACAATCCTCAGATCATAGTCTCCTGAGTATCTAGGATTACAGGTGTGAGCCCACCAGTGCCCGGCCTGTAAATACTTTCTTTCTTATTTTTTTTTTTTTGGTCCAGTCGTGGGGCCTGAACTCTGGGCCTGGGCGCTGTCCCTCAGCTCTTCAGCTCAAGGCTAGCGCTCTACCACTTGAGCCACAGCGCCACTTCTGGCTTTTTTCTTTTTGCTTATGTGGTGCTGAGGAATTGAACCCAGGGCCTCATGCATGCAAGGCAAGTGCTCTACCACTGAGCCACCTTCCCAGCCCCTGTAAATATTTTCTAACCTTTGAATCTCCATGTTTATATCTCTTTTTGGTTTGGAATTCATTTTCTTGTGTATGATGTGAAGTAGGGAGCATACTTCCCCCCAAGTAAAGTATTCACCCTTATGCTTAACTCATCTTGCATAGCGTACAGCAGTGATAGAAATCCACTGTTGAGCTTCATGTATGTGTTGTAGAATACCATTAACTGTTCTAGTTTTTACTTGTGTTTGCGCCTACTTGTAGGAAAGTGCTCAGAGTTCTAATAAGTACTTCTTTTCAGAGCCCATAATGTGTCCTTGTGTCTTGTAACATGTCTGGAATTTGTGTAGGCTCTGCTGGGGCAGGGAAAGGAGAGTTTCTTTGTCACACAAACAAGGACAAAGCTTTTTCCTGTCTCTTCGATTTACCAATGCCTCATCAGAAGCTTTCAGCATTTATGTAAGAAATTTATTTTATTGGACTTGAGAAAATTTAACAAGTTGTTTTAAATATGATAGAGTAGGAAATTGTATTTACTTAATTGTAGTGTTTTTTTCCCCTTTAGTCTTTTAAGTCTTTTAAATGTCTAAGCTGTTTCTTGTATTGTATATTCTTTGGGAAAAGATTAATGTTGATTTTGTGATATGGGAATAACAATAACAACAAGCCCCGTTATAGTGGGCTTTTCCATCATTTATTTTCCATTTTCTGTCATTTTCAGTCATTTTCATCTTGTAGACATTTGTACCAGATGCTCTACTCAGAAAAAGTGAGGAAAAGACTTAAAAAAGCCATCACTTAAGAAAAATTAAAGTGTGGCATACTGAAGTGAATCAGCATGGCAGGGAACGGGGAAGCAGAGGAGAAAAGAAATGAGATTGCTATGTGTTACTTTTATTTTAGACTTTTAAGGTATGTTCTTTTCTTCTACTCCTTATAGATAGCAGAGGCAGCCTTACCTTGAAGGTATTTATTTTTTTTTACTTGTTTAGGGTATTTAGGAGAAGTTTGTAGAGGTGATAGCCAGGTAGGAAGTATTCTGTTCAGAAACACTAGCTAGGAGCTTTGTCCTTTAGTTCCTTTCCCAGTTGTGTGTTTGATCTAGTTTAGTACTGAAAGAGTCCATTATGATTTTAAAAAAAAATCTTAGAATCTTAATTGTGTTCTAGACTTAAAAAAAATAAATCTATTAGCATGATGTGTTATATGTGTTTCTACTTCAGGAATATAATAGAGGCTGTTCATGCACAATAATATATTAGAACTAGATTAATCTGAAATAAGTTATTCACAGAAGGATTGAGTTCCATAAAATGATTAGTTTAGGTACAATAAATTCTACTTTGTTGTTGTTGTAATAGTCCTTTTCTGGCTTTCTAAAGAGGTGATAATTTCTTATTGGCAGTGATTATAAATAATAGATCTATCTGTATTGACTTTTGGTTCTTTTGTTTTTTATTTTGCCAGTACTGAAGTTTGAATTCAGGGCTTGGGTGTTGTTTCTTACCTTTTTTGCTCAAAAGCTGTCACTCTACCACTTGAGCCCACAGCTCTGTTACCATCTTTTTGGTGGTTAACTGGAGATGAGATTCTCACAAGATTTCCTCCCTGGGCTGGTTTCCGACCTTGATCCTCAGATCTTAGCCTCCTGACTAGCTAGGATTATAGGGGTAAGCCACTGGCACTCAGCTTGACTTTGTTTTTACCTGAAATAAACTGACATTTGAAAAAGAGGTGTGTGTGTGTGTGTGTGTGTGTGTGTGTGTGTGTGCACGTGCATGCGTGTGTGTCTGTCTGTCTGTCCTAGAACTTGAACTCAGAGCTGGGGGTGCTGTCCCTGAGCTTTTATACTCAAGGCTAGTGCTCTATCACTTGAGTCACAGCTCCAATTCTGACTTTTTTGGTGGCTAATTGGAGATAAGAGTCTCACAGACTTTCTTGTCCAGGCTGGCTTCAAACTGCCATCTTCAGAGTGCAGCTTCCTGAGTAGCTAGGATTACAGGTGTGAGGTACCAGTGCCCGGCCAAAACAGACTCTTGTCAAAGACTTTAGAGAAAATTGCTTCTTATTCTAATTGCTTTATATTATCATTGACTTCTTTAAGTTTACACAGAGAAATAATATCCTAGTGTGTAAAAAGGTTGAGGAGACAACCATTCTGTGCAGTGACTTTTTGCCTTGAGAACCACACATTCATAGTTTTAAATTTTTGTGTGGTTTTATTATAATGCATTATAATTTTAGAGAAAAGAATCTAGTTAAACAACCAACTGATATTTGGATTATTAATAATTCTACAATAACTTTTTTAAGGGAACAGAAATGAACTCTGAAATTTTCCTGTGCCTGTTTTCATTGTATTATCATTGAAAATTACTCATGTAGTATTGGCAGAGTGTCTTGTTGGTTTGTTTCATATTTTAGGGTATCACTTTGCCTGGAACAGTACTTTGATACGTAAGGTATAGTAGATGACTTTTTATTTTTTGTCGGTTGTGAGGCCTGAACTCTGGGTCTGGGCGCTTTCCCTCAGCTCTTCAGCTCCAGGCTAGCACTCTACCACTTGAGCCACAGAGCCACTTCCGGCTTTTTCTGCTTATATGGTGCTGAGGAATCAAACCCAGGGCCTCATGCATGCAAGGCAAGCACTCTACCACTGAGCCACCTTCCCAGCCCCTCGCACATGAGTTTTAAGTTGTGATTGTTTTTATTGTGAAATGTTTGGATGAGTCAGGTGAATTTGCTTGACTTAAATGTGCTTACTTGTCCTTTCTGATTTGTGTTGTATCTATTATATAGTAAGTGTTAAAACAGCTGTTATAGTTCATTGATGATGGGTACAAACAATGATGTATCTGCTGTAAGAGATGGAATAATACAGTTCTTTATAAAGAATCATGTATTAGAACTAAAAAAAATCTGGGTACTGGTAGCTCACACCTGTAATCTAGCTACTCAGGAGGCCGAGATCTGTGGATCATGGGTCAAAGCCAGTCTGGTGAGGAAAGTTTGTGAGACTCTTATCTCCAATTAACCACCAAAGAGCCAGAATTAGAGCTATGGCTCAAGTAGTAGAGCTTTAGCATTGAGCAAAAGAAGCTTAGGAACAGGGCCTAATTAAGTCCCAAGACTGGTACTTAAAAAAAAAAAAAGTAAAAAGGAGTCCTAGTAGTCATGCACTGGGGAAAAAAATATTTCTTAGATTTAAAAGAGCTTTTTGAGCTGGGTGCTGGTGGCTCACACCTGTAATCCTAGCTACTCAGGAGGCTGAGATCTGAGGATTTTGGTTCAAAGCCAGCCTGGGCAGGAAACCCCGTGAGACTCCAATAAGCCATTAGAAAACCAGAAGTGGTGCTCTGGCTCAAGCGGTAGAATGCTGGCCTTGAGCTGAAGAATTGAGGAGTGTAGTCCAATGTAACATGGGAGTGGAAAGCCTGAGATCAGGAACCTTGCAGCAAAGGCAGATGATGCATGGATCAGAAGTCACCAGAATTGAGAGTTTTCAAATAAAACAGGGATGGGGATACAGCTCAGCAGTAGAGCTTGTGCCTAACATGCATGAGGCCTGGGTTTGATCCTGAGCATCACAAAGTAATTAAATAAGTAAAATCTATTTATAGACATGGGCAAAACAGAATTGCTATCCATTTTATGTACCTGTGTCTTCTGTTCTCTGAAAGCTTCTTGATTACGAGGAACAGAATCCAAGGGCAGCTGCCTCAATTAGAGGAATATGATTGTAAGAAAGCCTCTGCCCCTGTGTGGACCCAGTAACCAATGAACCCATTGTGTAAAGCCAGGGAAAAAACCCACACATACATGATCTCTTCAAAGATTCTTCTGTTTCATTTTTTTCCAGTGATGCCATCTGTAGTTTTGTTATCTGCAATAATTCTTCCCTTCGAGGTCAGCCAATTATCTTCAATCCTGACTTTTTTGTGGAGAAGCTCCGACATGAGAAACCTGAGGTGTTCACTGAGTTGGTGGTCAGCAATATCACAAGACTTATCGATTTACCCGGAACTGAGCTGGCTCAGCTGATGGGAGAAGTGGACCTTAAGTTGCCTGGTGGGGCTGGTCCTGCAACAGGATTCTTCCGGTCTCTGATGACTCTCAAGCGGAAGGGTAGGAGATGTATTTGTGACGCGTGGACCTGTCCCACTATTACCTACCTTCCCTCTTGACATTGCACATTCACTGAGAGTTTTGATCACCCTAAAACAGTTTTGGGGCATTTCCCCCATTTTTATTAGTAGAATCTTAGGTAATAAAAAGTTAAAAAAAAAAAAAAAGAAAAAAGAAAAAAACGGGTTGGGAATGTGGCTTAGTAGTAGAGTGCTTGCCTAGCCTGCATGAAGCCCTAGGTTCAATTCCTCAGTACCACTGACACAGAAAAAGCTGGAAGTGGCACTGTGGTTCAAGTGCTAGACTTGAACAAAAGAAGTTCACGGATAGTGCCCAGGCCCTGAGTTCAAGCCCTAGGACTGACAAAAAAAAAAAAGATGCTAATCTCTTCTTAGTACTCAGGATTGAACTCGGGGCCTCACTCACGCTAGGCCACTGAGCTATATTCTTAGCCTCTAAACTTTTTTTTTGTCAGTTGTGGGTCTTGAACTTTGGGCCTAGGCATTGTCCCTCAGCTCTTCAGCTCAAAGCTAGCACTCTACCACTTGAGCCATAGCATCACTTCTGGTTTTCTGGTGGTTTATTGAAGATAAGAGTCTCACGGACTTTCCTGCCCTGGCTGGCTTTGAACCATGATCCCCAGATCTCAGCCTTCTTAGTAGTATAGATTGCAGGCGTGAGCCACCGGTGCCTTGCCTGAACATTTTTTTTTTTTTTGGTTGTGGGGCCTGAACTCTGGGCCTGGGTGCTGTCCCTGAGCTGTTCAGCTCAAGGGTAGTGCTCTACCACTTGAGCCACGCGCCATTTCTGGCTTTTTCTGCTTATGTAGTGCTGAGGAATTGAACCCAGTGCCTCATGCATACAAAGCAAGCACTCTACCACTGAGCCACCTTCCCAGCCCCTGGACATTTTTTTTGTATTGCACTAGTTTTCAGATATTTTCATGCTTTTATAGGGCAGATTCCTGCCCTATAAAAGAGCACTACTTTTGATAAGAGATCCTATTTTATTTTACTAAATATAAGGAAATAATTAAGGTAGAAAAATAGTTTTAGCATAAACAGATCAGATCTTGTACCAACTCCAGTGGATAATCAGTTATAATTTGATAGTCATGGCTCAAGTTCTTTTTTTTTTTTTTTGTCGGTCATGGGGCCTGAACTTTGGGCCTGGGTGCTGCCCCTCAGCTCTTCAGCTCGAGGCTAGCACGTTACCACTTGAGCCACAGTGCCACTTCTGGGTTTTTTTTTCTGCTTATGTGGTGCTTAGGAATCGAACTCAGGGCCTCATGCATACAAGGCATGCACTGTACCACTGAGCCATCTTCCCAGCCCTCAAGTTCTTTTTTTGTAGGTGTCGGTCTTGGGGCTTGAACTCAGGGTCTGGTAATGTCCTTGAACTTTAGTGCTCAAGGCTAGTGCTCTATCAGTTGAGCTATAGCTCCACTTCTGGCTTTTACTGGTTAATTAGAGATAAGCATTTGCAGGCTTTCCAGCCTGGGCTGGCTTTGAACCACAGTCCTCATATCTTAGCCTCCAGAGTAGTTGAGATTACAGGTATGAGCTCCTGGCCCCTGGCTTTTTTTTTTTTTTTTTTGTCGGTTGTGGGGCTTGAACTCTGGGCCTGGGCGCTGTCCCTCAGCTCTTCAGCTCAAGGCGAGCGCTCTACCACTTGAGCTACAGCGCCACTTCTGGTTTTGTGGTGGTTTATTGGAGATAGGAGTCTCATGGTCTCTCCTGCCCGGGCTGGCTTTGAACCGCGATCCTCAGATCTCAGCCTCCTGAGTAGCTAGGATTACAGGTGTGAGCCACCAGCACCCGGCTGGCCCCTGGCTTTTAAGTTCCTTTTTGTTTAATTTTAGATTGTCACTAAGCTAGCCATTATTACTTAAATAAGCAAATGGTAGCTGGCACTGGTAGATCACATCTGTAATCTTAACTGTTTTGAAGGCTGAGATCTGGGACTCAGGTTCAAAGCCAGCCTGGGCAGGAAAGCCTGTGAGACTTAGATTAACTACCAAAAAGCTAAAAGTGGAGGTGTGATTCAAGTGGTAGAGCACCAGTCTTTATTGAAAAAGCTCAGGGATACACCCAGGTCCTGTGTTTAAACCCCCAATAAATATCAATACCAGCATGTGTTGGTAAAATGGTAAGATGTTGTTTTCCTTCCCTCCCTCCCTCCTTCCCTCCCTCCTTCCTTCCAGTATTGAACTTGGAAAGAGTTGATTGACAGTTGTTCTAATTGAATTTCCTGGTTATTAGTGCTAAGGTTTTAAAAATTAAAAAAAAAATTAACAATATACAGAGGAGTTAATGTGATATTTGCATGTATGTGCATAATATGCTTTGATTAAATTCTTCCCATCTATATTAGTGTTTCTTCCCTGGTTCCTACTTCTTCCCCAGTGCTAAGTAAGGTGTTTGTTACTGACCTTAGGAAAACATTTGATGAACTGTGAAATAGGGGGAATTGTTTTAAGTAAAATGGCTTTGTACTGTTTGTATAAAATATAGTCCTGTCCTGTTACATGTTTTTTTCAGAAAAAGGAGTGGTATTTGGATCTCCACTGACTGAAGAAGGCATTGCCCAAATATACCAATTGATTGAATATCTTCACAAAAGTAAGACAGTTTGTAGTTTGAATATCTTTATAAAAGGCATTAGTTTGTTGACCTATGTTTAATGAGGAATTATCAATTTTCCATTGATTGCTAATAGCTTTGAGTTAGTAGTTGCCATTTAACTATCATCAAAGGAAGTAACCAATGATGTTAATTTCACATGGCAGATTTTTTTTTTGTTTTGTTTTTTTTTTCATGATGGGGCTTGAACTCAGGACCTCTGTGCTGTCCCTGAGCAATTTTTGCTGAAGGCTAGCATGCTACCACTTCATGCCACAGATCCACTTCTAGTTTTCTAGTGGTTAGTTGAAGATAATAGCCTCATGGACTTTTCTGCTGGACTGGCTTCAAATTTGGATCCTCAGATCTTAACCTCCTGAGTAGCTAGGATTACAGGTGTGAGCCACAAACACTCAGCTTGTATATATATGTATACATAAAAATTAGTGTCTAGAAAATTACATTTATCCCTTAAGTAAAACAATTATGGAGCTGGGTGCCAGTGGCTCACGCCTGTAATCTTAGCTACTCAGGAGGCTGAGATCTGAGGATCACAGTTCAAAGCCAGCCCGGGCAGGAAAGTCCGTGAGAATCTTATCTCCAATAAACCACTAGAAAACTGGAAGTAGGGCTGTGACTTAAGCGGTAGAGTGCTCACCTTGAGCTGAAGAGTGCAGGGACAGCGCCCAGGTCCAGAGTTCAAGCCCCACGACCGACAAAAAAAACGACAATTACGGAAAAATTTGGTGTGTATAGAATCATGACATTTATTCAAGGGAACATGATCTCTAAAATTCTGTGATGAACATACTTTTAGTTATGTCATCTGTGCCTGGCAAAACCTCCTTTTTAAAAGCTTTGTAGGCTGGGCACTGGTGGGTCACACCTGTCTGTAATTCTAACTACTCAAGAGGCTAAGATTTGAAGATGAAGGTTCAAAGCCAGCCTCGACAAAAAAGACCATAAGAGTCTCATCAAAAAGCCGAAGTCTTATCTCCAATAACTACCAAGACAAAAATGGAGCCATGTCTCAAGTTATGGAGTGCTAGCCTTGAGCAAAATAGCTAAGGGACAGCACTCAGGTTCTGAATTCAAGCCCTACTACCATCCCCAAAATAAATAAATAAATAAAGTCTTTGCAAAGGATATTTAAGGGAAGAGTAGTATGTTAATTACATCTTCTCTCTTTTGTTTTTTTCCCTGTCCTCTGTTTTTTTCCATGCTAAGCAGATTTGCGAGTAGAGGGTTTGTTTAGAGTACCAGGCAATAGTGTTCGACAGCAGATTTTAAGAGATGCTCTCAATAATGGAACTGATATTGACTTGGAATCAGGGGAATTTCACTCAAATGATGTTGCCACCTTGCTGAAGATATTTCTAGGAGAGTTACCGGAGCCCTTACTGACACATAAACATTTCAATGCACATCTCAAAATTGCTGGTGAGTATAGGAAGGAGGACATTTAACTATTTCAATTTAGTAAAATCTTCTGGAATTTTCTGTGACTCATGGAAATTTTTTTTTTTTCTTTTTTGCAAGTTCTGGGGCTTGAACTCAGGGTCCTGGGCACCGTCCCTGAGCTTCATTTGCTCAAGGCTAGCACTCTACCACTTGAACCAAAGTGCCACTTCTGCCTTTTTCTGTTTATGTGATAGTGGCACTCTACCACTAGGCCACATTCCCAGCTCCCAGAAATACTTTTTTTTTTGTCTTCATGGGGCTTGAACTCAGGGCCTGGGCACTGTCACTGAGCTTTTTTGTTCAAGCCAGGTGCTCTACCACCTGAGCCACAGCTCCACTTCGGGCTTTTTGCTAGTTGGAGATGAGTCTTATAGACTTTTCTGCCTGGGCTGGGTTTAAACCTTAATCCTTAGATCTCAGTCTCCTGAGTAGCTAGGATTACAGGTGTAAACTACTGGCATCTGGCTTCAAATGTCTTCCTTGATAAATAAATGTTTATTAAGACAAAGGGCTGACTAGGGCCAGTTATTATTTATTTTTGTATCCCTGATGGACCCTATTATAGGCCTTTGGACATTTTAATTGCTCAATGAATGTATGCTTTTGGATTGGTTGGCTTCATAGGATTCATACCTCAAATGTTATAGGTTTGATGCATTTGTCTTAGTTTGAGACTTTTGCTAAATATTTCTAATGGAGAGATGATTTCTACATTTGGAAATTAGTTTTTAAAAAGATTTTGTTCTCTGAGTAGGCAATACATTACTATGATTTACAGTTTCAAAAGCTTCAGAGAAAAGCCAGATGCTGGTGGCTCAGACCTGTAATCCTAGCTATTCAGGAAGTTAAGATCTGAGAATCATGATTCAAAGCCAGCAGGAATATCTGTTGAGAATTTTCTTTTTTGGTCTGTCATGGGGCTTGAACTCTGGGTCTGGGCACTGTCCCTCAGCTCTTCAGCTCAGAGTGAGTGCTCTACCACTTGAGCCACAGTGCCACTTCTGGTTTTCTAGTGGTTAACTGGAGATAAGAGTTTCAACGATTCCTGCCCAGGCTGGCTTTGAACCGAGATCCTCAGATCTCAGCCTCTTGAGTAGCTAGGATTACAGGTCTGAGCCACCAGCGCCAGGCGAGACTCTTTTCTTTAACTACCAAAAAACCATAAGGAGAACCCAGTGCTGGTGGCTCACACCTGTAATCCTAGCTACTCAGGAGGTTGAGATCTGAAAATATGGTTCAAAGCCAGGCTGGACAGGAAAGTCTGTTAACCTCCAGTTAACTCACCAGAGAACCGGAAGTGGTTTTGTGGCTCAAGTAGTAGAGCACTCGCTTTGAGATGAAGAGCTGAGGGACAGTGCCCAGGCCCAGAATTCAATCCCATGACCAACAAAAAAACAAAACAAAAAGTGACAAAAAAGCCATAAGTGGAGCTGGCAAAAAAAAAAAAAGAAAAAGAAAAAGAAATCAACATTACTTGTCTCTGGGCAAAGAACTGGGTGCCAGAGAATAGAGTGGGGAAGAAGTTTTTCATTTTATATTCTCTGAACCTTTTTTTAGTGTGTGCCAGTTCTGGAGCTTGACCTTAGGGCCTGGGCACTGTCCCTGAGCTTCTTCTGCTCAAGGCTACCACTCTACCACTTGAGCCATAGCACCACTTCTGGTTTTCTAGTGGTTAATTAGAGATAGATTCTTATGAACTTTCCTGCCTGGGCAGACTTTGAATAATCCTCAGATCTCAGCCCTCTTGAGTAGCTAGGATTACAGGGTGAACCTCCAGTGCCCAGCTTTAATGGTCTGCTTTTTTTTTGGGGGGGGGGGCCCAACCTGGGGCTTGAACTCAGGGCCTGGGCACTGACCCTAAGATTCTTTTGCTCAAGCTAGCACTCTACCACTTGAGCCACAGTGTCACTTCTGGCTTTTTCTGTGTTTTTGGTACCGAGGAATGGAACCCAGGGCTTCATGCATGCTAGGCGAGCATTTTGCCACCAAGCCACCTTCCCAGCCCTAATGGTCCATTTTTATCTCATCAGTAGTTTTGTTCTTTGTGCTGTGTGGTTTTCTTTTTCTTTCCCTTTTTTTCTCTTTTCTTTTCTTCCTTTCTGTGCCATTGGAGCTTGAATTTTTTTCCCCCCTCATCTCTGTTCTTTAGCATTCGACTTATGCCTCCACTTTTAGATCTTTGTTGATTAATAGGAGATAAGAGTCTCTCATTTGTCTGTCTGGGCTGGTCTCCTGAAAAGCTAGGATTAGAGCCATTAGTTACCATTGCCTGGCTTGAGAATGTTTTTCTCTTTTCTTTCCCTCTTTTCCTTCCTCCCCTCTCTTCTATGTATGAGCTCTGTCTCTCTCCACCTTCCAGGGAATTGAACTCAAGGCACATTCTAGAGTGTTATTAGATTTTTATGTTTAACACATTTCTGCCTTTCTGCTTTTGGTATGAATTGAAGGGAGGAGAACAGTATGGCATGGAGGGTTTGTTGTTATTTTTTCCTTATTCCTTACGAGTAATTCGTTTTGTTTTTAAGATTTGATGCAGTTTGATGATAAAGGAAACAAGACCAATGTACCAGATAAGGAGCGGCAAATTGAGGCTCTTCAGTTGCTTTTCCTCATTCTCCCTCCACCCAATCGTAACTTGTTGAAGTTATTGCTTGATCTCCTGTACCAGACAGCAAAAAAACAAGATAAGAATAAGATGTCTGCCTATAACCTTGCTCTTATGTTTGCGCCACATGTCCTATGGCCAAAAAATGTGAGTGTTGAGGGGAAGAGCAAAGATTGCTTTGTTTTCTTGGGCTGGGCCTCATCCTTGGTGAGGCTATCAAGGTCCAAGGTCTAGTCTTTAGCTTTATGAGGTCAGGAACTTCCTTTATTAGTTCATTCTGGAGCCATTAAACCCAAGGGGCCAGCTCCTCTAACTTTTCTTATAAATCGTTCTTTATAAACCTGCATGGCAACTGAAATTACAGCTACTAAGTAAACTAGAATACTCATTTTGATGAATTAGTAATGACTTTATTTATTTTTAGCAGTAAATCCTTCTTGGGAAATCAAATGAATTCCTGAAGATTGAATGATAAATTTAGGATAGAGCTGTGTGACCTTATGGATTAGTATCATCAACCTTTCTTTTTTTTTGGGTGCGGGGGGGTCCAGTTGTGGGGCTTGAACTCTGGGCCTGGGCACTGTCCCTTAGCTCTTCAGTTCAAGGATAGCACTCTACCACTTGAGCCACAGCTCCACTTCCGGCTTTTTTCTTTTGCTTATGTGGTGCTGAGGAATCGAACCCAGGACCTCATGCATGCAAGGCAAGTGCTCTACCACTGAGCCACCTTCCCAGCCCTATCATCAACCTTTATAGGAGAGACAGATAGATCAGTTTTACCTTGTCCTAACTTTTGTCTTATACATGCAGTTTTCTTGGATAAAGTTAGTTTGAATGGGCTTTTTGTTACTGAGACTATGATACTATCAGTGACTCACATGAAAATAAATTAGTCTTTTTTGTTTTCTTCAGTGCTGAGGTTTGAATTCAGATACAGATTGTGGTCTCTGTCCATTTTGAATATAAGACTAGATCTCTCTCTCTCTCTCTCTCTCTCTCTTTTTTTTTTTTTTTTTACTTATACTGGGGCCTGAACTAATGGCCTTAAGTTCTTACTTTGCTTTTCCTACTCAAGCTGGTAATGCTCTACTACTTAAGCCACATCTCCACTTCTGGCTTTTTGGTAGTTAATTGTAGATAAGTCTTTCATAGACTTTTCTGCCTGGGCTGGCTTTGAAGCTTGATCCTCAGACCTTAGCCTGGTGAGTAGCTAGGATTACAGGCATGAGCCACTAGTGCCCAGTCATGACCCACCAATGCCTAGTCCTAGACTATATTTTGTTTAGGAATATTGCCTACTTGATAAGTTCTCAAGGATTTCCTGGTCACATCCACTAGAAACCTGCTAACCCAGAATCTACTCATATTTAGAGTTACTTTTGTTAGGGACAGAAATAATTGCACATTTCAAAGAACAAGCTTATTGGTAAGTAGTCCCAGCTCTTACTGTTCTTCATTTGCTTTCTTTTCCTCTGGGTAGGTCACTGCAAATGACCTTCAGGAGAATATTACAAAGTTAAACAATGGGATGGCTTTTATGATCAAACACTCTCAGAAACTTTTTAAGGTAGGTACAGGCAGTTCCGTTGGTGACAAGACAAGGAGGGTAGAGAGCAGAGTGGGATTCTAAATAAAAAGACAGGATATAACTAGAAATGTAAACTAGAATGGGACAGTGGCAAAACTCTCCCAGGGGGGAGGACTGAGCTGAGGAAATACCTGTCCTCTGGGTAATTGAGTCATTTCATTAAAGTCTGTACTTGCTGGCAGCTGCTAGTTTTAGCCTGCTTGTTTCCTGCCAGTCTAATTTTGAGGGTCTGACAAGCCCCCTTTATTCCGTCCCCTTCAGCTCAAATAGTGTTTCTGTCATGGTAATTTTCTCAAGAACTTTGTGGGTTTTCTGTGTATTTCAGAGTTTATTCTGTTAGACAAAAGCCATATATATATATTTATTTATTTATTTATTGCAGATAAATCTACTATCTTATTTGCTGAGAAGGTTGAGGGCAATCTCTTTAAGCTTCCTGAGGCCCTGTGGTTCAATGGAGAACATCTCAGAGACATGTTCTTACCTTTAAAAGGGTTTTATGAGGCCAGGTGCTGGCTGGCAGCTCATGCCTGTAAGCATCCCTACTCAGGCTGAGATCTGAGGATTGCAGTTTGAAGTCAGCCTGGGCAAGAAAGTCCATAAGACTCTTGTCTTGAATTAACTACCAGAAAACCGAAAGTGGAGCTGTGTTCACAGTGGTAGAGTGCAAGCCTTGAGTGAAAAAGCCCAGGGTCGTTGTTCAGGCTGAGTTCAAGCCCCACAACTGACCAAAAAAAAAAAAAAAAAAGGAAGGATTTTGTGTAGCTGAAATACTCTTTTGATATTTCTGGGGTTGTTAGAAAAACTTGTGCAGTCATATCCTGGCCTTTAAAATGCTCCTTGATAGTCTCTTGCCATCTAGAAAGGCTGAGAACTTTAAAGATCATCTACTACTAGTACCTTTTTCTTGTGGTAAAATACTTACAAAATTTACCACTTTTAAATGATTCTATTAACTACTTTTTTTTTTTTGGTCAGTCATGGTGCCTGAACTCTGTTCCTCAGCTTTTCACTTAAGGCTAGTGCTCTACCACTTAAGCCACAGCGCATATCTGGCTTTTTCTGCTTATGTGGTGCTAAGGAATTGAACCCAGGGCTTCATGCATGCAAGGCAAGCACTCTACCACTGAGCCACCTTCCCAGTGCCCTATTAACTACTTTAAAAAAAATGTTGTTTTTAAATGTTAACCTTTTGTTTTTGGTTGTTGTTGGTTGTGGGGCTTGAACTCAGGGCCTGGGCACTGTCCCTGAAATCTTTTGAGGCTCATGGTTATTTCTCTACCACTTTGAGCCATAGCTCCACTTTAGTTTTCTGGTGGTTAATTGAATATGAATCTCACAGACTTTTCTGCCCAGGCTGGCTTTGAACTGTGATCCTCAGATCTCAATCTCGTGAGTAGCTAGGATTACAGGCATGAGCCACCTGTGCCCAGCTAATGTTAACCACTTAAAAATGTCAAATTGTTATTATAAAGGTGATGTACATATAAAGGTGATGTACAGAGGAGACATAGTCACATAAGTCAAGTAGGGTACATTTTTTTTTTTTTTGGCGGTCATGGGGCCTGAACTCTGGGCCTGGGCACTGTCCCTCAGCTCTTCAGCTCAAGGCTTGCACTTTACTACTTGAGCCAAGGACCACTTCCAGCTTTTTCTGCTTATGTGGTGCTGAGGAATCAAACCCAGGGCCTCATGCATGCAAGGCAAACACTCTACCACTGAGCCACCTACCCAGCCCTTGGGTACATTTCCTTCTTTCTTTCTTTCTTTCTTTCTTCCTTTTCTTTCTTTCTAACCTACCTTCCATCCTTCCTTCCTACCTTCCTTCCTTCCTTCCTTCCTTTCTTTTTCTTTCTTTCTTTCTCTGTCTGTGTTTTTTTGCCAGTCATAGGTCTTGAACTTAGGGCCTGGTCACTGTCCCTGAGTTTCTTTGTCTCAAGGCTAATACTCTACCACTTGAGCCACAGAACCACTTGTGGCTTTTTCTGTTTATGTGGTACTGAGAAATCAAATGTAGGGCTTGATGTATACTTAGGTAAGCACTCTGCCACTAAGCCACATTCCCAGATCCTCACTATTCTGGTTTCTATAAATTTGATTAAATACTTTATGTAAGTGAAGCCATATATGTCTTTTAAAAAATTAACATATTGGGCTGGGGGTTTAGCTCAGTGGAAGAGTACCTGCCTGGTGAGTGCAAGGCCCTGAGTTTGGTCCTCAGTCTGGGATGAAAAAAAAATTAACATTATTTATACAAGGATATTTCAATATGATACTTCAATACATGCATATATAATCTACCATATCAAACTTTTAGGTCAAGCCAGGCGCAGCTGGCTTATGCCTGTAATTCTAGCCACTCAGGAGGCTGAGATCTGAGGATCACAGTTCAAAGCCAGCCTGGGCAAGAAAGTCCATGAGACTCTTATCTCCATTTAACCACCTGAAAACCAGAAGTGGTGCTGTGGCTCAAGTGGTAGAGCCTTGAGCTGAAGAGCTGAGGGACAGTGCTTAGGCCCAGAATTCAAGCCCCACAACCCACAAAAACCAAACAAACTTTTAGATCAATTTCAACAGGATTCCTGTTATATTTTCTTTCTTTCTTTTTCCAGCCCTGAAGTTTGAACTCAGGGCCTGAGCACTCCTGAGTTTCTTTTTGCTCAAGGCTAGTACTCTACCACTTGAACCACAGAGCTAGTTTGGGCTTTTTATGTTTATGTGGTGCTGAGGAATCGAACCCAGGGCTTCATGCGTGCTAGGCAAGCAGTTTACAACTAAGCCACGTTCCCAGCCCTCCTGTTATATTTTCTTTTTTTTTTTTTTTTTTTGGGCCCGGTCGTGGGGCCTGGGCGCTGTCCCTCAGCTCTTTAGCTCAAGGCTAGCGCTCTACCACTTGAGCCACAGCGCCACTTCCGGCTTTTTTCTTTTTGCTTATGTGGTGCTGAGGAATTGAACCCAGGGCCTCGAGCATGCAGGGCAAGCGCTCTACCACTGAGCCACCTTCTCAGCCCAAAGATTTTCTTTTTTTTTTTTGGTCCGGTCGTGGGGCCTGAACTCTGGGCCTGGGCACTGTCCCTCAGCTCTTCAGCTCAAGGCTAGTGCTCTGCCACTTGAGCCACAGCGCCACTTCTGGCTTTTTTCTTTTTGCTTATGTGGTGCTGAGGAATCAAACCCAGGGCCTCAGGCATGCAAGGCAAGCGCTCTACCACTGAGCCACCTTCCCAGCCCCCTCCTGTTATATTTTCATACACACATAGAAAGTACTTTAGTCGTATTTGCCATCTCCTTGTACCTGGCATTGCGTAAAAGTCCAGGGTCATTCAGGCTTCCTAGCACTGTTGATGTTGTCTACTTCTTGAAAATTACTTTAGTATGTATGATAGGTTTGTTCTGGGCTGCCTATCTCATTGGTGTATATATGTCTTCATACCAGAACTACAATGATGTGATTACTTAGTTTCATAGCAGTTTTGAAATCAGGAAATGTCAGTCTTCTAACTTTGTTATTTTCCTCACTGTTTTGACTGTTCAGAGTCCCTTGAGATTCTATATCGATTTTAGGCTGAGACCTGAAGGATCATGATTTGCAATCATCTGGATTTACCGTTAAAGGGGAAGAATTCCAGCTATGATCTTAGCAAGATTTGGGTTCAAGTCCTGATATTGGCCCCCCAAAAAAAAACAAAAACAAAAATGCAACCCCAAACAGAAACAACTATATTGGTGTCTTCTCACAGTTTTTTCTTTTTTTATTTTAATATGTTTTTATTGTAAAAATACTGTACAGAGGGGTTACAGTTACATGAGCAAGGTAATGAGTACATTTCCTATCAAGCATTGTTGCTTCCTCCTTTGTTTTTCCCCTACCATCCCTTCCCTCCCACCCCCCACAACTACACTCTTCCCTCTACCCCCTCACATTTTTTCTATCAGATTCATTGAGAAATCTATTTGGTGACAAGAGAAAGGAAGCTATAGAGTAGGTCTTTTGAACAATACTTTGCTTTTCCAGAGTAATATACTTGTCAGGTCCTACTAGCCATTGAGTCATGGTTTTCTTTTATGTCCTGCCCAGGCTCCTGCTTATATTCGTGAATGTGCCAGGTTGCACTATCTGAGCTCCAGAAATCAAGTCTCAAAGGTAAGAATAGGAAATTGTTTGTAACCCAAACATGGAAATAGTTGATGTTAGTGAAGTTTTAAAACAAAGCATAACATCAGAGTAAAGCCATTTTTTAAACAGCCAATGTTTTTTTTTTTTTTTGGGAGGGGGGGGTCCGGTCGTGGGGCCTGAACTCTGGGCCTGGGCGCTGTCCCTCAGCTCTTCAGCTCAAGGCTAGCGCTCTACCACTTGAGCCACAGCACCTCTTCCCGCTTTTTTCTTTTTGCTTATGAGGTGCTGAGGAATCGAACCCAGGGCCTCAAGCATGCAAGGCAAGCGCTCTACCACTGAGCCACCTTCCCAGCCCCTGCAGCCAATGTTTTTAATGTTGTAGCTTAAACTTACCTAGTCATTTTATCTTATTTATTTTAGTTTTTATTTTTATTTTATTTTTGCCCATCCTGTGGCTTGAATTTAGGCCTGGGCAAATCCTGGAGCCTTTTTTGCTCAAGGCTAGAACTTTACCACTTCCAGCTTTTTCTTTTTTCTTTTCTTTCTTTTTTTTTTTTTGTCGGTTGTGGGGCTTGAACTCTGGGCTTGAATGCTATCCCTCAGCTCTTCAGCTCAAGGCTAGCACTCTACCACTTGAGCCACAGTACCACTTCTGGTTTTCTGGTGGTTTACTGGTTTACTGGTGCCTGGGCTGGCTTTGAACTACCTTCCTCAGATCTCAGCCTCCTGAGTAGCTATGATTACAGGTGTGAGCCACCAGTGCCTGGCAAGATAAAAGTAATCTGTAATAGCAAATATATTAAACATAGCAGGAAAAGTGCAGTTGTACATAATTCATTTTTTTTTATACTTATATCTTCTTATATGAAATAAGAAGACCACACTTTATTTTTATTTTTTTATTTTTTATTTTTGCTTATGTGGTGCTGAGGAATCGAACCCAAGGCCTCTGGCATGCAAGGCAAGCGCTCTACCACTGAGCCAACTTCCCAGCCCCCATAATTCATTTTTTAAGTTCATTGACATGGTAAAATTATCAAATGGCTAAAAGACTTGAGATTATATGAATTTAGAGAACTATGAGATGCTTATTTACATATGAATACATCTCATTATTGAGTTTTAATAGTGTTTAAAAAAACTTGACAAGCACTTTTATGTAAGTTCTATTTAGTCTGTCTTGGCTAGACACTTAAGGTATTTTTAACTTAGTTTTAAGCTATTTTTAACTTACTTTTTTCCTGCATCTATTTATTTCTCCTTCTCATTCAACAAATTCTTTTTTTAAAAATTTATTATTATTATTATTTTTTTATTGTGAAAATACTGTACAGAGGGGTTACAATTACATGGGCAAGATAGTGAGTACATTTCTTATCAAGCATTGTAGCCTCCTTCTTTGTTTACCCTTCCCATCCCTTCCCAGCCTCCCCCCACCCCCCGACCCAATCCTTCCCCCCATTCAACAAATTCTTGATGTGACCAGAAAAACAATATTTGATCTTGAGTGTTAAACTAGAACGTGATTTTTCTTAGAGAACTGTCATTTTTATTCTTTTGCCATTGCTTGTCACATTAAATTGTCACATGAGGAGATGAGCACCACCTAGATTCAGTCCTGATGGGCCCCAGAGTTGGGAGCGGTTTGTCACTTTAGTATTCAGATCGCTTATCATTATCATTATTTAATTAATTTATTCATTTATTTTTGGTTGGTCATAGGGCTTGAACTCTGGGCCTGGGCGCTATCCCTGAGTTCTTCAGCTCAAGGCTAGCGCTTTACCACTTGAGCCCCAGCGCCACTTCTGTTTTTTTCCTGGTGGTTAATTGGAAATAAGAGTCTCACAGATGTTACTGCCTGGGCTGGCTTTGAACTGCGATCCTTAGATCTGAGGATCTGAGTAGCTAGGATTACAGGCATGAGCTACCAGCACCTGGCTTTTTATAATTAATTAATTAAAAAAAATTTTTTTTTGCCAGTCCTGGAGCTTGAACTCAGGGCCTGGGCACTGTCTCTAAGCTTCTTTTTGTTCAAGGCTAGCACTCTACCTTTTGAGCTAAGTGCCTCTTCCAGCTTTTTCTGTTGATGTGTCACTGAGGAATTGAACCCAGGGCTTCATGAATGCTAGGCAAGCATTCTACCACTAAGCCACATTCTCAGTACTCCAGATGACTTTTAAACTTAGAGCTTAACCTAGATTTTCAAAAATTCTTAAGAGGAATGATGATGCTTTCTCTGCTTGCCTTATAGGACAGAGTGAGGATTACAATAGATATGAAATGTTTGAAAATTGAACTCATACAAATACTGTCCGGCAATATTCTCAGTGTACTTAGGTTATCTGGATGGGTCATGTATTCTAATAATAGAACCTTTATTAATAGTTTCCTCTATGTTTTGTAGTTGTGTGTGTGTGTGTGTGTGTGTGTGTTTTTGTTGGTTTGGGAACGTTTTCTTGTTCCTGGTTATAGAAGTATACCATATTACTACTCCCTCTGTTTTGATTCAATTTTTTTTCATTATTGTTTTTTGTGGGAACCAAAAAAACTGGCAAGCTATATTAATTCACTTACCTTTTAAATTTTCTTTAGGATGACCTTGATCTAACGGCTTCATGTCATGCTAAGTCCTTCCAGCTGGTAAAACCTAAGAAATGGAACCAGACAGATTCCTCCTCTCAGCAGGAGGAAACCCAGCAGCGGACAGAAGAGGCCCTGAGAGAGCTCTTCCAGCATGTTCACAATATGCCAGAGTCAGCAAAGAAGAAGCAGCTTATTCGACAGGTACTGGAAGGCGGGGAAATAGTAATGGGGCTTTAAGAATGTGAGCTGGAGCTGGGCACTTGTGGCTCATGCCTGTAATTCTAGCTACTCAGGAGGCTGAGATCTGAGGATCGAGATTCAAAGCCAGCCTGGTCAGGAAAGTCCGTGAGACTCTTATCTCCAATAAACCACCCGAAAACCAGAAGTGGCGCTGTGGCTCTCAATTGGTAGAGTGCTTGCCTTGAGCTAAAGAGCTGAGGGACAGCGCTCAGGCCCAGAGTTCAAGCCCCACGACTGACCAAAAAAAAAAAAAAAAGAATGTGAGCTGGTTGTAGAATCACAAGAGAATATCTTTCATCTCTTTGGGACAAACTTTGGCTCAGATGAGAAAGTAAGCTTATCTGACTGGAATTCCAATGTGCTGCTGTCCATTTAGAGGAAAAGTGGATATGTTTGTGTTTCTGCAGTTACAGAGTAATGTGGTTAGTGTAGTTTTTGTTTTGAGAAAACCATGGTTACAGTATATGTTCTAAGATTTAAATCCTCTGGATTTTTTTTTTTCTTGACATGTAACTTTTTTTTTTTGGCTATTTGTGGACCTTGATCTCAGGGCCTGGGCTCTGTCCCTGCCTGAGCTCTTTTGCTCAAGGCTAGTGTTCTACCACTTTGAGCCACAATGCCAATTCTGGTTTTTGAGTAGTTAATTGGAGATAAGAGTCTCATGGGGACTTTTCTGCCTGGGCTTGCTTCAGACCTTGATCCTCAGATCTCAGCCTCCTGAGTAGATAGGAATTACAGGTGTGAGCCACTGGCACCTGGCAAATATATGTCTTTCTGAATTGGATTTTTTTGGTTTGGAAATGGTAATAGTAGTTTTTGTGTGTGAAGGTTGTAAAGGGTAGAGGAGATCTGTATAGAGTAGCTGGTATAGCAGAGCATAAGTAGTAACTGATTAGTGGAGTTGTTTGCAATTAGAACACTAAATTAGGGTCCTACTCTGATACTAGAAAGTAGCAATTCCAGTGGCCAAATTTGTTTATTGTGGAATTTTGGAGAAAAATTAGGTCATTCATTTGTCACTTTTAGGTGCTGTTCCTGCTCAGTTGATAGTTTGGTTTTTCAGGAATTTATTTTGTCTCAATTCTTTTGAGTTTTTTTTTTTTTTTCCCAGTCCTAGGGCTTGAACTCAGGACCTAGGCCTGGTCCCTGAGCCTCTCTATGCTCAAGGCTAGCACTCTACCACTTGAGCCACAGCACCACTTCCGGCTTTTTCTGTTTATGTGGTACTGAGGAATCGAACCCATGCTAAGCAAGCACTCTACCACTAAGCCACATTCCCAGCCCTTCTTTTGAGTTTTATTTGAGCAGGAGGGTCACTGTATTAGTCAGTTTTCCCTACACACACACACACACACACACACACACACACACACACACACACACACACACACACACTACATATCCTATTTATGTATATAATAAATATATATATCTTACTATATATATCTGAAATAATTAACTTTTGATAAGAGAAGGTTTATTTTGGCCCTCAGATTTGGCGTTTCAGTATATGATTGGCAACTCTATTGTTTTTGGGTCTTTGGTAAAGCAGATAAAGTTAGGAGCAAAGCTTTTTTTCTCATGGTTGCCAACTGAGCAAAAAAAGGAGGAAAAGACCAGGATCTTACTGACCTCTCTCAGGGTACACTTCCAATGAACTGGATTCCCCCACTAGGTCTTACTCTTAAGAGTTCTACTTCTGGACTGGGAATGTGGCTTAGTGGTAGAGTGCTTGCTTAGTATGCATGAAGCCCTGAGTGATTCCTCAGTACCACATACACAGAAAAAGCTGGAAGTGACGCTGTGGTTCAAGTGGTAGAGTGCTAGCCTTGAGCAAAAGAAGCTCAGGGACAGTGTGCAGGCCCTGAGTTTAAGTCCCAGGCCTGGCAAAAAAGAAAAAAGAATTTGGGCTAGATACCCATGAAGCATTTCAAATCCAAACTACAGCTGTCAGCCTTTGGGGCTTTTCTTTAACTGGTAAAGGTATCATTCTACCTACTTATTTATACCTAATCTCAAGCACAGGGCCAAGTATAAATAAATATTAGAAAGTGTTAAACTGACCTTTTTTTTAAATTTTAGTACTGGACTTTTTTTTTTGGTCGGTTGTGGGCCTGAACTCGGCCTGGGCACTGCCCCTCAGCTCTTCAGCTTAAGATTAGCGCTCTACCACTTGAGCCACAGCGCCACTTCTGGCTTTTTCTGCTTATGTGGTGCTGAGGAATTGAACCCAAGCCCTCATGCATGCAAGGCAAGCACTCTACCACCTTCCCAGCCCCAGGACTTTTTTTTAAAACAATTTTCTTTTTGTGTATTTTCTTTTTTTTTTTTTTATACTAAAAGATTTTTTTATTTTTTAAAAATTTTTATTTATTTTTTTATTGTGAAAATACTGTACAGAGGGGTTACAATTACATGGGCAAGATAATGAGTACATTTCTTTTTTTTTTTATTGTAAAGATACTATACAGAGGGTTACAGTTACATGAGTGGGGTAATGAGTACACTTGAGTACATTTCTTATCAAGCATTGTAGCCTCCTCCTTTGTTTCCCCTTCCCATCCCTTCCCAGCTTCCCCCCACCCTCCCACGCAATCCTCCCCCCCCAAAGTTGTCTTTTTATGTATTTTCTTTGTACTTTCTTCTCTCCTTCACTTGTGTCTCAGACATTAAGTAATAGGACAAACTAAAATACAAGAGGGTAAGATTATTCCTACAAAAAAACAAAAGGATAGAAGGACACAGAGGGAAGGAAATGAGGCGAAGGATGAGAGGAGATGAGGTGGTAGGAAGAAAAATAGAGGTTTACTGGTTTTTGCTGAGGAAAACAAAAATAAGGTATAAAGTGAGCCCTGGTGGACAGTCACAAGAGGAAAATATTTAAACATTATTGAATTTGTGTTGTGTATTGTAAGTCCTTTTTCAGTAAGTTTCTGCATTTCCTTTCATGGAAAAAGATAGTAAAGAGGAAAAGCATTATTTTTGCCATTTTTAGAAAGTAGGAAATTATAGAGAATGTAAAGAAGAAAATAAACCACTCATTCCTTCATTGTTATATTTTGGGTATTTAGTCTTTTTCCAATGATTATAGTTTTGCATACTTATGATCATATTATATACATTCTTTGGAGATAGGATCTGCTCAGGTTTGCCTTAAACTCCTTGCAAGTAGCTTAGCCTATTGAGTAGTGTACACAAATTTATAGTTTGGAAATGTTGAAAGTATAGTTAGAAAAGTCAGAAGAGTTGACATTTCAACTAGGTATTATGTTGCCATTATTATTATTGTTACTATCATTTTTTTTTTTTTGTCAGTGGAGGGGCTCAAACTCTGGGCCTAGATGCTTTCCCTCAGTTCTTCAGCTCAAGGCAAGCGCTCTACCACTTGAGCCACAGTGCCACTTTGGTTTTCTGGTGGTTAGTTGGAGATAAGACTCTCATGGATTTTCCTGTCTGGGCTGGCTTTTCACTGTGATCCTCAGGTCTCAGCCTCTGAGTAGCTAGGATTATAGGCATGAATCATCAGTGCCTAGCTTGTATTATTTTGTGTCTTTAGTCAGTTGTGGGGCTTGAACTCGGCCTGAGCACTGTCCTTGAACTAATTTACTCAAGGCTAGGGTTCTACCATGTTGAACCATAGCCCCACTTCTGGTTTTCTGGTGGTTAACTGGAGATAAGAGTCTCACGTACTTTCCTGCCTGGCTGGCTTTGAACCATAATTCTCAGATCTCAGCCTCTTGAGTAGCTAGGATTATAGGCATGAGCCACCAGTGCCAGCTTGTATTATTATTATTTAAGTGGGAAAATGAATAGCTAATCAAAGCATTGACTAAGACTATGCAGTATCTTTTGTCTCTCCTTTTCTATCTTGGATATCTCCACACAAAGAGCTGATGATGAAGACATTGAAAGTCTGCATTCTGATCTATTTCCTTTGGTGATATTGCCAGCAGGCAATTGTGAGCACTATTTAAAGAGTTTTAATAACTTAAAAAAATTCTGGTATAAAATTTATGTTAAATTAAGACTGTATAAGTTGTATCAGTAAGTAATTCTAATATCCAAGATACTTTATGCAAAAGAAAAGTCACAATTTACTAGCAGATTGTGGGCAAACTCCTAAGCTTACTAAGTCTCAGTTTCCTTTTCTATGAGATAGGGATGGTAATTTCATATTCAAGGAATTTGAGTTGCAGGACCTTTCAGAGTAATTTGATGTTTGACTTCTTTTTGGAAGCATCTTTTCTTCCTTTATGATTTGCTTATCAATCTACTCCTGTATATATGTACAGATTCACTTATTTCTTGACTTTTCTGGCATCACTTGATGGGAGAATATTAATAAGATGTCCTCTGTGTTTTCTTTTAGTTTCATAAACAGTCTTTGACCCAAACACCAGGCAGAGAACCGTCTACTCCCCGTGTCCAGAAGAGGGCCCGTTCGCGCTCCTTTAGTGGGCTAATTAAGGTAAGCTGTATTGATCCTGAGGAAACTGAACTCTGACTGATGAAGTTAATTTTATGCTTGGTATTAAGTTCATTTGTTAGGAGATAAAGGGAGAATTTTAAAAAGTTTTTATTTTGTAGTTTTACTGTGTTTCAAATGGAGGAGGATCTCTACGAAGTAAAAGAAATGAAAGCCTTTCTTTATCTTCTGGGTATAAGGAGAGATTTCATTTCTGTATAGAGTCCATTTTATTTCCTGACCTGCTTCACAAGAGTAAACCTACTTCTTTCTTTCTTTTTCCCCTCCCTCTCTCCCTCCCTCCCTCCCTCCCTCCCTCCCTCCCTCCCTCCCTCCCTCCCTCCCTCCCTCCCTCCCTTCCTTCCTTCCTTCCTTCCTTCCTTCCTTCCTTCCTTCCTTCCTTCCTTCCTTCCTTCCTTCCCTCCTTCCTTCCTTCCCTCCTTCTCTCCTTCCCTCCTTCCCTCCTTCCCTCCTTCCTTCCCTCCTTCTTATTTCGCTGGCACTGGGACTTGAGAGAGCCTGGGTGTTGTCTCTGAGCTTCTTTTGCTAAAGGCTAGTGTTCTACAACTTGGGTCACAGCACCACTACTGGCTTTCTTTTTTTTGGTAATTTATTGGAAATAAGAGTCTCGTAGACTTTCCTGCCTGGGCTGGCTTCGAACCATCATTCCAAGATCTCAGCCTCCTGAGTAGCTAGGATTATAGGTGTGAGCCGCTGGCGCCTGGCTAAGCCTACTGTTTTGTTTCTGTGGGTTTATTACATGTAGTTTTTTTTTTTGTCGGTCATGGGGCTTGAACTCTGGGCCGGGGCACTGTCCCTCAGCTCTTCAGCTCAAGGCTAGCGCTCTACCACTTGAGTCACTGTGACACTTCCGGTTTTCTGGTGATTAATTGGAGATAAGAGTCTCATGGCCTTTCCTGGCCAGGCTGGCTTTGAACTTCGAACCTCAGAACTCAGCCTTCTGTGTAGCTAGGATTACAGGTGTGAGCCGCTGGCACCCAGCTTACTTGTAGCTTTTGATCAATTGTCATAAAGTAAATCAATGAGTAAGTAAATACATATTAAAAAACTTAAAAATTTAAAATTCCCATACATAAATTACACATCTTATTTGATGTGGAAGAGCTCTCAGCCAATCCCACATTGTCAATTGTGTTTAAATCAAATGTGATCTGCTGAGTGTTTTGTTGTTTATAGTTTGGTGAAAATATGTCCCAAAACAAGGGAAGAGTTAGTGTTCTTACTTTATGAGTAAAGTGAACATTTGAGATTTGTGGAAAGCCAAAATGTCTGTGGTGGAAGTTGGGTGGTATTATGGGAAAAATGGATCGGCCATCTGTAATATAGTATTGAACTCCATGTATCTTGAGCATTTCTGTTTTTTTCTCAGCAGTGGTCTCCTTGGGACCATGTATTATGGTTATCAAGGGTCTACTGTACTTCTTCATGCAATTTACTATATCTGTGGAGTAGTGAGGAAATAGAGATGATTCGGGAAATTAGAAAAATGGGTTTTCTGGTTGGTCAAAGTATGAACCAATTAAACAGTGATACTCACTAAACCCTATATTGGAAATGAGTTTTACAACTTGGAAAGGGGGTCGGGGTGAAGGAGGGGAAGTGGGAGAAAATGAGGGAGAGGGTAACACTGTTCAAAAGGAGATGTACTCATTACTGTACTTACTTATGTAACTATGTAACTATAACCCTTTACAATAAATTATATCACCTTTACAATAAATTTTAAATTAAAAAAATTAAAGAAGAAAAATGGATTTTCTAATAGGCTGGTGTACTTTGACACCTCACATTTTTAATTGTTTTTTCTCTTATATCAAATTCATTGTTAGATCAAATATATTGTGATTCTGTGATGTTACTACCATTTTTATGTTTGTAGATTGAGTTTACAAATCTCCAGATTTTAATTTGTAGTTAAGGAATATTGCCATCAGGTGGCAGTAGATATCTTGGTTATGGGGTTCAGATTTTCATGTATAAATGAAGGCAAGGTTAATTTGGAGAGAAACTAGTGCTATTTTTGTGTTCTGCTGTTTTTTTTTTTTTTTAAATTGTATTACCATTATTAAGAAATAAATTTATCAACACTAAGGAGTCCTTTGAGTACTTTGCAAGTTTTTCCCATTTACGCTGAAGTTAACAGTTGCAGATTCATTTAGCCCTAGTTTTTGTCATTATAATTTGTAGAAGTCTAGAGTTTACTTTCAATACTAATTTCCTGAGTCTAGTAGCTTCTTGGACTAATGTTGCCATCAGAATTTCCATTCCTTTCAACAGAGTGAAAGGCAACCTATAGAATGGGAGAGAATATTTGCATTTTGTGTACCTTGTTAGGAACTACTATCTAACATATATAAAGAACGTTTATAACTCAGCATCAAAAAACAACTTCAGCCGGGCGCTGGTGGCTCACGCCTCTATTCAGGTGGCTGAGATCTGATCTAAGGGTTGTGGTTCAAAGCTAGCCTGGGCAGCAAAGTCCGAGAGACTCTTATCTCCAATTAATCCAGAAAATTGGAAGTAGAGCTGTGGCTCAAAGTGGTAGAGTGCTTGCCTTGAGCTGAAGAGTTCAGGGATAGCACCTAGGCCCAGAGTTCAAGACCCAGGACTGATCAAAAACCTCCACAAAAACAAAAAAAAAACAACACAAAAACAACTTCACTTCCAGGTGCTGGTATCTCATGCCTGTAATCCTAGCTACTCATGAGGCTGAGATCTGAGGAATGTGATTGGAAGCCAGCCTAGGTAGAAAAGTCTGTGAGGCTCTACTTCCAATTAACCAGGAAAAAATAAAAGAGAAAGAAAGAAATGGAGCCTGTGGATCGAGCTGGTAGAGTGCAAGCTTGGAGTGAAGAAGCTCAGGGAGCACGTGAGGCCCTAGGTTCAAGCCCTACTAACCAGCACAAAAAATAAAAACAACAAGAAAATAGCCTCCTCCAAACTCCCCAAAACTACAACAAAACAAACAACAACCACAACAAGTAAAGAAAAATAAAAGAATAGCAACCATTCTAGGTATTTGGTACATGCTGTGGCCTCTTTTGTATGATATGGCTGGGAGGGCTTGTTCCAAGTTTTTAGAAAGCTGAGTTTATTTTTTATTTTTGTGCTTCTGGGATTTGACTTGCTAGGCAAGCATTCTATCATGTGAGCCACACTTCCAGTCCTATAAGGATTTTTAATTAAAAAAAAATTTTTTTTTGTCGGTCGTGGGGCTTGAACTCTGGGCCTGGGCATTGTCCCTCAGTTCTTCAGCTCAAGGATAGTGTTCTACCACTTGAGCTACCACGCCACTTCCAGTTTTCTGAGTAGTTTATTGGAGATAAGAGTCTCACAGACTTTGCTGCCTAGGCTGGCTTTGTACTGCGATCCTCAGATTTTAGCCTCTTGAGTAGCTAGTATTACAGATGTGAGCCACCAGCACCCAGCTAAGTATTTTTTAACATAAGAAAATTGTAGTCTTTGCCAGGTGCTCATGGCCCATGCCTGTAATCCTAACTACTCAGGAGGCTAAAATCTGAAGATCACGTGGTTCAAAGCCATCTCGGACAGGAAAAAAAAATCTGTGAGACTCTTTTCTCTCTCTCCCTTCCTTCCTTTCCTTCCTTCCTTCCTTCTTTTCTTTGTCAGTCGTGGGGCCTGAACTCTGGCCTGAGCGCTGTCCCTCAGCTCTTCAGCTCAAGGCTAGTGCCCTACCACTCAGTACTACTTCTGGCTTTTTCTACTTATGTGGTGCTGAGGAATCGAACCCAGGGCCTCATGCATGCAAGGCAAGCACTCTACCACTGAGCCACCTTCCCAGCTCCTCTGTGAGACTCTTATATCTAATTAACCATCAGAAAACTGGAAGTGGGGGCTGAGAAGTTGGCTCAGTGGTAGAGTGCTTGCCTTGCATGCCTGAGGCCCTGGGTTCGATTCCTCAGCACCACATAAGCAAAAAGAAAAAAGCCGGAAGTGGTGCTGTGGCTCAAATGGTAGAGCGCTAGCCTTGAGCTGAAGAGCTGAGGGACAGCCCCCAGGCCCAGAGTTCAGGCCCCACAACCGGACCCAAAAAAAAAAAAAAAAAAAAGAAAACTGGAAGTGGAGCTATGGTTTAAAATGACAGAGTATTAGCCTTGAGCAAAAGAACTCAGGGACAACTCCCAGGCCCTGAGTTCAAGCTCCATGACTGACAAGAAAAAAAAAAAGAAAAGAAAATTGTAGTTTTGTAAGTCAATATAGCTATGTAGTGATGCAATAAATGTTTGTAAATCAAATATATTCTGTTTGTAAATCAGCGCAAAGTCCTGGGAAGTCAGATCATGACAGAAAAGAGAAACAAGTCCCCTACTCGAGAGTCTTTGGCCATGAGTGAATTGAAGAGCACCAGCAAAGAAAATAGGAACTTAGTAAGATAATATTCTTTGGACTCTTTCTCTGTGTGTGTATGTGTACATTTGTAAAAGAAGGAAATTTGTATATTGTCATTTATTTTTACAGTTTTTCTGCATCATGTTGAATGTTTATTTATACTTACTATCTTTCTGTAGATTTTTTTTTTTTGGTGCCAGTCCTGGGGCTTGAACTCAGGGCCTGGCTGCTATCACTTGAGCCACAACCCCACTTCTGGCTTTTTTGGTGGTTAATTTCAGATATGAGTCTCACAGACTTTCCCGCCCAGGTATACTATGAACTACAGTCCTCAGATCTCAGCCTCCTAAGTAGCTAAAATTACAGGCATGAGCCACTGGCGCCTGGATTTTCTGTAGATTTTTATTAACTCATTCACTAAACAAGAAGAATATAGCTAGTTACATGATGATGACCCATACAGTGTAGTAGCTACATAAACAAGTATTGCAGGGTGCAGTTAATTCTTACTGGGAGAGTCCATGAGATGGGTAGCATTTTATCTGGGTCTCCTTGGCTCTATATTGCCTGTATGGTAGTTGTCCAAGTTATCCTAGGTTTAGTTACTTCATTAAATCAACAATAAATCAGTTAAGGTAAGTAAGGTATAACTATTCCAGGCTTGGTCAAACTCCTCCCATTGAAATTGGATGAGTAATTGCTCTGTTAGTAAAGTCTGTTAGTAAAGTCTATAACACTGACATTAGATCATGTAAGCCACTGTAAAATTTTCTTGTTACAGTCATATTCTGGTTCTCCTGCTGTCATGACGCCAACAAGATTGAAATGGTCTGAGGGGAAGAAGGAGAGGAGAAAAGGTACTCATTTTACTTTGTCTTCTTTGTTCCTGAATGTAGTTCCTTTCTGCATCTATTCAGTGAGTAGCATTTTTTTCTTTTACTTCCCAGTGTATACAGTTGTAGTCAGAAGGGATGTAGGTTGATGTGCTATACTGTGCAGTGCCCTTAGGTTGCTCCAGACACTGACCCTACAAACACTGATCTCTACCTTCTTAGACAGGACTTGTATTTCAGTTACCTTAATTATACTTCATAAATAAGTTCAAAACAAATATAAACTTTTTTTTTTATCTTGACAACTCTATGGTGGAAAGAAAGAAATGAATTTCTTCAGAAAAGTAGGGGTCCATGATAACGTGAGACTTTGAGTAGGTTAGACAATGGCATTTTTACTCTCCCCCAGTTATTTCCTGTATCCTGAGATGCTGCACTATCCTTTTTTTTTTTTTTTTTTGTCAATTGTGGGGCCTGAACTCTGAGCCTGGGCGCTGTCTCTAAGCTCTTCAGCTGTAGACCAGTGCTTTACCTCTTGAGCCTCAGCCCCACTTCCAGCTTTTTCTGCTTATGTGGTGCTGAGGAGTTGAACCGAGGGCCTCATGCATGCAAGGCAAGCGCTCTACCACTGAGCCACCTTCCCAGCCCCACTACACTATTCTTATTTTCTTCCTTCCTATGATTCTCTTTCTTTTTCTCTTCCTCCCTCCTTTCATTCTCCTTCCTTCTTTCCTTCCTTCTCCTTCCTTCTTTCTCCTCCCTACCCTCTCTCCCTCTCCCCGTTTTTAGCTTTTTTTTTTTGGTCGGTCGTGGGGCTTGAACTCTGGGCCTGGGCGCTGTCCCTCAGCTCTTCAGCTCAAGGCAAGCGCTCTACCACTTGAGCTACAGCGCCACTTCTGGTTTTCTGGTGGTTTTATTGGAGATAGGAGTCTCACGGTCTCTCCTGCCCGGGCTGGCTTTGAACCGCGATCCTCAGATCTCAGCCTCCTGAGTAGCTAGGATTACAGGCGTGAGCCACCAGCGCCCAGCTTTGTTTTTAGCTTTTTTAATTAAAAAAAAAATTTCCCAGACTGGCCTCAAATTGGGATCTTCCTTCTATCTCATGAGTAGCTAGGATTATAGGCAAGCGCCACCACATCTAGCTACCTGTTGTGTTTTTACATTTATTTTTCTTCAGTTCTCTGCTTTTCTCTGCTCTTATATTTTCCTGCTCTTAGCAGCTTGGTCTGCTTCCATAGCTCAGTTCTGTTTTCTGTGTGATAACAGTTTCCAAACTGGCCTCTCCAGGTCTGAACTCTTCTAGACTCCAAGCCTGCAGTTTAGGTAGGTACCATACAGTTTTTTATTCAACAATGAATTGAATCCTAGATATTTTGGGCACTGATGTTAGTAAAATAACACACACTCCTTGAAGAAGACGATATAATTTTATTATCACCATTAACAGTATAATTGAAATGGACTTGTATTTAGCACAAATTTCTTAGCGTTAGCAATATTGACATTTTACTTCAATTTCTTTGTTGTGGGAGCTATTCTGTATGCTGTTTAACAGCTTCTACCCAGTTCATGCGTCTGGAACCCTTCCCTCAGTGTGACAACCAAACTGTCCCTCGACAATATGTGTCCTGAAGGGGAGAAGGAAAAATCACCCCCAGATGAGAACAACTACTTATTACTGGGCATTCTTTTCAGCAGGCACAGTCTTTCTCATTCTTCAGAGCCCAGCCTAAACTGCCTCTCTTCTCTGGAACCTTTTCTGGCTAACCCAGCCAGATAGAGTTACTTTTTTTTCCTTTGAACTCTTACTGAAACTATTAAGGTATGGACATCTAGTATGATTTACTTTAGCAGTATTTTCTTTTCTCGGTATCTAATTTCTTTTCCAGAAGACAGGAGTCAGATTTAAGAATATATTCTTAGGGGTTGGGACAGATGGAGCAGAGGAATAAAAGGAGTGACATTGCTTAAGATGCATGATTAAGATGCATTGATTAAAACTGCCATGTTGAATTGAAATCCCTTTGTAGAACTTGGATATAGCTCAGTAGAGCATTTGCCTACCATGTGCAAGGCCCTGGGTTTAATCCTACTACCACAATAAAGAAAAAGTAAATAGAATGTACTTGTGGCCTTCTGTCTTCTGTTCTTGTATGACAGTGCTGCAGTCAGTATGGAGTAAGCATTTGCCAGTGGAAGGTAATGCTGGTAAGAGCACGAACTCTTCCTTTACTTAGACTTGGGCCCATTTCCCTGTTTTGCTGCTTAGTAGCTTTATCTGGGGCTATAGTTTCTCTGTCTGTAACATGGCAGGAATAGTGTCTCATGTGCAGGTGGTTATGAGGAAGAAGGAGACGTTGTGCATAATTAACTTAAGAGGAACACCCATATAAAAGGTACACCTACTTGGTGGCAGGTGTTATTGCCATGAATACATTTAATGAACTGGGATTAGATTGAGCAGACTCGATAGAGTCTCTACTTGGTAGAGAGTGAAATTCTTAAATATTTTGATCAATCTGCAGATTGATATTAAATAATAGATTCTATAGCTTTTAGGTAAAATGCTTGCAAAAAGTATTTATAAATGTATCTAATGTTCTTGTTTCTCCTTCAACCTAGGATTCCTCTGAAGGATTTAGACCTCTCCTGTCATCCACCAGAATTTTCTCCTTAGTGGACCAGGTGTTATTTCTGCTTACTGCGAAGTTGGGACTTGCAGTTTGCTTGCTGCATTTTGATTTGTGAAAACCAGTTTATGCCATATGTGACTGAATAACCTCTAACCCACTCACTGGCTATCATTTATAAGCTGTGCCTTCTGAGAGAGTGCTGTGCTCTCTCTCTTAAGTATTATAAGGGAAAACCACTAACCAGAGAACAAACAACTTACGTTGTATAGTAAATCAGCAGTACCCGCCGGGCTCCAGTGTTCATTCAATATGCTTTGTTAGGCCAGGTTTGTTTTTTCAACTGTTTTGTGCCCAACTGTCAGTGATTATTTTTTCAGAAGTACTGTTGATCTTAGTGGATTAGTAATTTTAACTGATATTTCGGGCTTTTCTCTGTTTTAATAATGTTGAGGAGTAACTGGTTGTTATTTGTCACTTTTTTGTTTTAAAAGCCATTTCTTTTTGGATTGGTAATCCAAATGGACTCTTAAACTGGATACTCTTAAACCCCTTTTCTTCTTAAACTTTGGGAAAGCTCTTGCTCTTATGAGGCTATATTCCTTAGTATCTTTTGTGTTGAGAGAATTTATGGCTTTCTGGAAGTTCTTTATTATTTCTTGTGTCTGCAATTATAGGGGAGTTGACCTATTGTATTGAAAAAAGGAGAATATTGTATTTTATTGAATTTTTGCTTTTCCCTCTCTCCTTCCTCTTTCTCCCTCCTCCATCTCTCACTGTCTTCTTTCCTCAGTTATGTGAAAGTAGTTGTGTGGTCGCTGAGCTTATTTCCTTCACTCAATATTCTCTAACCATATGAAATACTTGTCTGCTAAGAAAGGAAAAGTTACTGCTTCACAGAAATCTTTGTCTGTGGCAGGAAGCTCTGGAGTGTGCCTGGAGGAACTGGCTGGCTTATATTCCTTTGGATGGGATTCTATTGCACTTTTCCAGGCATCAGGTGCAAACTAGAGCATCTCCTGAGAGCAAGGTGGGGTCACAAGAAAGGTATGATTAGCAATGTCTGGAGTCTGATAGGATTTGGAAGATAGAATTCTCACTGGGAAGCAGTTGGAGCTTCTCAGTGCTCAGGAGTGGTTCCTGCCACAGATAGTAATTGGAGCTGGAGCTGGAGCACTTGGCGATTGGATTGGATATGTTCATCTGTATTTATGGTGAAGAAAGAAAAGACATGGCTTTGATCTGGTATGAAATTATATTCACGGTGCAGAGAGCAGCACGTGGCAGATGAAGATGTTGAAGTGTGTGCCTGGCTGTTAAGCTGCATAACTGTTTCTGCCTTGTGTGTAAAAGCTGAGTCAGGCCACTGTGGGGAGGCAGGCATCCAAGAAAATACGGTTTGCTGATCTAATTTTAGGCAGTTGGAAATCTTCACTATCCTAAAACAATGACTCCAGTGCAGCAGGGTTTGATTTTGTTTCAGGCCATCAGCCCTCTCTTCTGCTGGACTTTTTTTTGTTGTTGTTAAGAAAAAAAAATAATTCTGTACCAGGTAACAATGAGTTTAAACAGAAATCCCTTTTGGTGTCAATACATCAAAATAGTATTCTTCCTCAACACTTCCAAAGTAGTGTTTCCTTCCTTTATTCCTTACGTGTGTTCTATCTTGGAGTGGCACAGTGGTCTGTTGAGCATGGACTGTCTTCAGGTTGAGAGAGCATGGCAGTGACTTGATACCCCCTTGTCATCTAGTTGGTTTTGTGTTTGAGAGAGTTAAGAGACAAAGGAGATTGGATGAATGGGATCAGCAGCCGTAGGTAGTGTTCTGTGGTGAGGGTGCAGGTGAGATGCCTTTAGATAGCTGGACCCCTTGGGCAGTTCACATGTGTATTTGGGTATGAGTGTTTGGTTTATTTATTGAATATGCTTTCTCTTGTTTTAAGGGCTTTATAGGTCATATTTCTTAGGGAAGCTGTGATCCAATTGGGAGCCAAGGTTGAGGAATAAGCTATATAACCTTCTACTTGTAATAGTAAATATTCTAATCCTGTGGAATCTTCTAGGGAACTCAGAGAAAAACCGTTGCCACAGGAGGTTGCTGTCTCCCTTCTGACATGATGGCAGTTGTTATTTTTGAGCCAGTATTTAATTTTTTTTAACCTTTATAATATGTGTTAAAAATTGTTTTGTTGTGTTTATTTTCATGTTAGAAGAGTTTCTTTGGAAATGCCTCTTCTTGTGGCTTTTCAAGTTTCATTCCTTTTTAGAGTTGTCTTTGGTTTCGATGTGTGTCACTATGGGGCAATGCCAGGGCACAAGCATAAAAACGCAAACCACCTCCTTCATTCACATCTGCACTGAGTGAGTGAGTGGAAGCCATAGATGCTGCCTTTTTAGCCTTTCACAGCAGTGGACTTTGCCCTGGGGCCAGTGAATTTGGTTTAGAAACCCTGCTCAGCAGTGGCAGAGGATCAGAAGGTCCAAGTGCAGGAGTGCAGGACATATTAGAGGAGTGGGTATTGAATTATCCCTGAACTCACAGTTGGTTCACCACAAAGGAAAGCTCTTTGCTCTGCATGTCTCCTATAGTTAGTCGGAAAGGACAGGGGACAATTGGGAGATGGGGTCATGTGTCACTGACTGGTGGTTGCTGGGTTTTCCAAGTGAGCTTTGTTGGTCAGGTTGACAGAGTAGAGCCATTCTTTCCTCTAGGGATTCAGGTTCCCTCACAGGATCCTGTGTCAGCAAATGGTTCATAATACTGCATGCAGTAGGGAGACTGGTATTGGAGGCTGTGCCCTAGTACCTGGCCATGTGACCATGCTGAACTGGGAGGCCATCCTTGGGAGGGGCTTCCTTGCTTTGTACAGGGCTCTGCACAGAGGCTGGAAGCTAATAGTTCCCACTCTTGAAATGAATTCCTGAGATGAGAAACTCATCCCTGGTCTACTCCCCCTGAGGTCTTGAGACTAAAGATAGAACCGAGATCTAACCTGGGTGCCAGCAGGACTGTCCCAGAGCTGAGGGAGAAATTTGGGTTTCTAAATTGCTCAAGCGTTTGAATCCAGTGGTGGTTTGCTCAGTGGCAGATTCACTAAAAGCTGGCTGTTGGAGACAACTAATGTTAAGATCAGTGTAAAGTTGATAAGAGGAAGGCTCAAGAGGAGGTGGAGTAAAAACAGCCTGAGTGCTAGGGTTACCATGGAAACCACAGTGTGTGAGGCCATAGCCTGTGCTGAAGAGCTGTTGAGCATGCCTCTGACATGTTTAGGGACCAGTTGAACCTGTGGGGGAAGCATGCCCTTACCCTAGGAGCCTTTCTTTGTAGCAAGGACAGTGCAAATGCCCCTGAGCTCACTCAACCACCAAAATAAGGTTTCACCATTTTTTATTTTTCTTTTTATTTTATAATATATATAATATGTAATTGTAAAGAAACAATCATATGCAATGTCTTTTATACTTATGTAATATTTTGAGATTAAATTTCCTTTGTTTCATATCTGCAGGCTTTGGCTAGTCTCTTGGTTCACAATTTGACCAATGGGTTGTTTTGAAGAAAGAATGCTTCTGGTTCTGAGGAATGTGAGGCCTCTGAGGAAGTGATTCCTATATGACATATTTTGCACTTGGGTGGGAGAGTTCAGGAGGAGAGGGCTTTGGCTGATAAATGAGTTTGACCTGGGCAAGGCAGTACATACCTGTAATCCCAGCACTGAAGAAGCTGAAGCAAGGGGATCTTAGTTTGAGGCCATCCTGTCTCCAAACAAAGAAGAGAAAATAAGAAAGCCTGGAGCCACTGGACTCCTAAATTGACTTTGCCTCCTGACGTGGGCCAACCTACTTGCTCATGTCTACATTAGTCCAGAAATGTAGCTTGAGGACAGGAATGGTGAGGACGAACAAACCCCAAGCCAGTGGTTTCAGTATGGAGGACATTGTCTTTTCAAGGCCTGGCCTCTGATTCCCCCAAATAAAGGTAGGGACAAAAATTGAGGTTGTGCAATGGACAAGTCTTTTTTCTTTTTCTTTCCTCTTGAGATAAGGTTTTTTTGTAGCTCAGGCTGGCCTGCAACTCCCTGTATAACCTAGGCTGCCTCAAACTCATGACCACCTTCACAGCCTTCACAGTTGTACATTCCTATACTTGGCTTATTTCCAGAGAGTTGTTTTTGTTTTCAGTGCCTCAGTTGAATTTTTAATTTAGTTGAACCATTATCTATGGGCAATAGAAAAAAGTAGAATGTCTAAAAATCATAAGCCTGAGAGGGAAAAAATTCCAAACAAATGGGGCCAGGGGGCTAGGAAAGAGCTGTTCCAAGTAACAAAGTATCCATCATGGGGATGGTATGCCAGCCATCCCGGGGGTGGGAATGTCAGTTGTCCACATACACAACATCTGGACCCTTCAACTCATGTCCATGGCAATTGCAAAGTGAAGGTTGACCTGAGATGGTCGCGCCTACATATTTTTATGATCCATGTCCATTGGCAGTGGCTCAGAGGGCAAATACACAGTCAGGTATTACTTAATGCTAAGATGCATTCTGAGAAACACATCACTAGACAATCTTGCTGTTGTGTGAACATCATAGAATGAACTTATACCAACTGAGTGTGGCTTGTTGATGCAGTGAAAAAAAAAGATGGTAGTCATGAGATGTATATGTGGGAGCTGTGGAGGGTATAATGGCTACTGCTCTACAATAAACTTGTAAGTAGAAGTATACTTGCAGACAATGAAAAGGTATAGTATAGCAGCAGATGCATTAGTCAGTAGCAGTTGATCATCAAGTATTAGGTACTAAACATAATAATGGCTGTTCCACTTTCGTATCACTGGCATCAGGCCACCACCACAAACATGCATGAGGACTGCATTGATTAATAAGACACATCTGGGATTCTTGACTCATGGTCAAGTTGTAAAGGTAAAGTTGCACCTGAGATTGCTGCAGGTTAGATGTCACTAGGAAACAGTGTTCATCTCTGTACAATGCTTTTTCTTTGTTCTGTTATAACCTTATGGCACCAGCATCTATGCAGAGTCTTGTTCATTGAACCATCATGTGGCACGTAGCAAGCTGTAGATATATGGTAAGTATGATATCTACTTTTAAAGAATGAACCCAAATGTAAGCATCTTAAATATAAGTGTTAAAAAAAAATCCACACAGGAAACTTCCTCCCTACCAGGCTTCATCATTTGAGAACCAAGAGAAGAAATCAATACACCAACCAGGAGAATGGAGGTGGTTATGCTCTGGTGGGGCTTCAGTATTCGGTTCATTTCTATGGATGTTTGTGTGTTAAGGAAGGCCTTCGTATGAGGGAAGGAAAGATTCTGTCGCTGGGACCCTGAAAATGCCTCTGTGGAAACACCGTCTTCTAGAGAATGGTGATGCTCAGAACAGTCCAACTTCAACCCTCCACTGGGCTGGGCTGTGTCAACAAGTGAGTGAGCAGCTACTTGCAGCTACTTGTGAGGACAAGTCGGTGGGAAAGCAGATGCTGCGCTCCTACCAAGAAAGTTCATTCATGTTTTGTTTGCCTTCAGCTCAGTCTTAAACGCTGTTGAGGGAGTCTTTATGGTTCATTCTCCACATGTCACACTTCTTAGTCTCAGAAACTCCTGGAAGAGGCCAAGGTCTCATTCAGTCAGGTTGCATTGTTCCTCTTTCTTGAAGGGCTGATGATGGTGAATTGGGTGATAGTACTAGCTGAAGGAACTCACACCAAGAGAATTTACATCTTAAGATTTGGCTCCTTTATCTGCCTCCCCATGACTGTAGTTACTCCTGTAACTTGTGTGCTTGTTAGGGAAATATAGATGATTAGGACCTCCCTACTCTGTCCGTGCTATTGTGAAGTCTTAATAAAATCACGTATTGATAAGAGCTTTGAGATACTGTGCATCTAGACCATGTAGATGTAGCAAATAAAGAAGATGCTCAAAACCAGTAGCTTTTTTTTTTCTCTCTTTTGGTCAGTTGTGTGGTTTGAACTCAGGGCCTGAGCACTGTCCCTGAGCATTTCAGCTCAAGGCAAGCGCTCTACCACTTGAGCCACAGTGCTACTTACAGTTTTCTGGTGGTTAATTAGAGATAACAGTCTCACAGACTTTCCTGCTCCAGCTGGCTATGAACTGCAGTCCTCAGATTTCAGCCTCCTGAGTAGCTAGGATTACAGGCGTGAGTTGTTAATATCACAGTGTTTACAGTGAATCTAGCACAAATGAACTTTGGCTATAAAAATTGACAATGTAAAAATAAGACGAGGGCCTGGGAATATGGCTTAGTGTAGAGTACTTGCCTAGCATGAAGCCCTGGGCTCAATTCTTCACTACCACACTAAAAAAAAAAAAAAAAAAAAGCCAGAATTGGTGCTATGGCTCAAGTGGTAGAGCCCTGGCTCTGAGCACAGAGCCAGGCCCTGAGTTCAAACCCCAGGACTGACAATAAAAAAAAAAAATAAAAAGAAAAATAAGACTTGCATATTATATTGAATTTATAGATTCTTTAGGACCTGGATAAAGTGGTCACGTTAAAAGTGTTGAGTGGGAAATAGGAATGTGGTGGGCATACACGCCGCAGCGCTGCGGGTTTAATGCTGTGAGGCATTGGTATGGATTGCTGCAGTCATGGTGGCATGTAGAGGAAGGAGATGGTGAGCCTTCAGCTACATACATCTCCATGTGGGGCAGAGAGCAGAGAAGGGGAAGGGAAGGATTCTTCGTCCCAAAAGCTGGGAGCGGTGGGGCTAGCTGTAGGGGTAGGAAGATGAGGAACATCAGTTCTCAAACTCACAGGGATGGATCAGAGTCTTGCTGAAACCTTGTCAGGCCACGCCCCTGGAGGTTCAAGTCCAGTAGGTCTGAAGCCCAAGAAGATGCATTTCTAACTAGTTCCCAGTGGATGATGGAATTGTTGATCTAGAGATCACACTGAGAGCCCTGCGTGCAGCAGTAGCAGTGATGAACAGTTTGTGGCCCGTGGTGGGGGCAGAAGGGGCTCACTGAGGGAAGGGGTGGAGCTAATGTGTGAACCGAGGGACACTGGACGGAAAGGTTAACCCCAGGACTACAAAAAGCAAAAACCCCAGATGAAGTTGTGAGTTGTTCCTAGTACTTGTGTGCAGTTGACACAGAGAGTTGCCAGCAGGGTTGTAGCTGGAGCTGGTGGTCCACAACTAGGGAGGTTGATTAGCTGAGACTTAGTGCTAAAGGGAGAGAAGGAGGAAATAAATGCAGACTCTCGACAGTATCCAGGAGCTGTCTCTTCTAGTTTTCCTACCATTTTGACCAGCTGCGAGGGGAAGACTTCCAATTGAGTGAGTGAACAACCACTGTGCCTCAGGCATTTCATATGCCCTGCCACATTCAGTCCTCATAATGGCATGACACAAGTGTCACTGAGCCATTTTAAGGATGAGGGAGCTGCCTTGAGAAGTGAAGGGACTTGCTCATTATCCAGTGGAACTAGGATGCAGTTAGCCTTAGGGGGGACTTGTCTAGTCTAATCTCTGCTGCTTCCCCACCTCCAGTATTATCATTAAAACGTGTAGTCAGTATAAGTCTTTGGGATCCAGTGTGCATTTTACACGTATGGCACATCTCAATTCGAGCATGTCACATTTCATTTCGTGCGCTCAATAGCCACCTGTCCATGCCCTATGCACAGGAATGAGAACCGGCAACCAAATGTGGCCTGTAATCACCATTTCTGCCACTAGATGATGCAAGTGACTTTTGCTAACATGCCTGATCTTAAGAGTGGGTGAGGACTTAACCCGTCCTGCCTTTATTTGTTTAAATTAGCCAGAAATGAGTTTGAACGATTGATAGAGTACATTGTATGTGTATATGGAGATTTCACAATGAAATTCCCCTTGTGCAACTAAAATATATTAATAAAGAATCTAAAAAAAGGATTCCATCTCAATAAAAGCTGTTGATCAGTGGTGGGGTGGAAGTCTGGGAAAGCGAAGGCAATAGAGAAAATTATTCTGATTAAAGTACAATATATGCAAGTCTGAAATATTATGGTAAAATCCTTTTGTACAATTACTGCATGTTACAAAAGTAGCAGAAAAGAATAATAGGCTTTTGTTGGGTTAAGTGTACTAGTGGGCGGAGGGAAGGCCAATGGAGAGAGCAAATGAAGATGAAAATGGTAGTTTGTTTGTAGGTATGAACACAGAACAATGAAATCTGTTGAAATTGCTTTAAGGAGAAAGGGGATAAACGCTAGTGATTGGGGGCGGTGAGTTTGATCAGGATACATTGTATGTATGGATGTACAACTAATGGATGCTAATAAAAAATTCCAAATCATTAAAAACTGATACTAGATGGCTGGGAAGGTGGCTCAGTGGTAGAGCGCTTGCCTTGAGCTGAAGAACTGAGGGTCAGTGCCCAGGCCCAGAGTTCAGGTCCCACGACAGGACCCCCCAAAAAAGAATCAAAAAAACCCCTGATACTAGAAATAAATACACAAAGCTATGT